CTCGGTTTTCAGCGACAACCATGTCTCCCCAACTCGCAGCCGGGACTTGATGATAGATCTCGAGATCCGATCACCAAGCCTCTGGCCGGCCATCTTTGACGACGAAGATGACCATCACCATTGGACAACGAGACGACGCGAGATGAAGTAGGGCGTTGCCAGCGTGCGTCCTGGCCAGCACCACCGGCGCTAGGCCCATCCCGGACCACGCCTCGTTGTCGAGGGCAACGGCAAGCGCTGCCACGACGAGGACGCAGACCGGAAGCCCAGATCCGACCCACCCGCGCGCCGCCACGTGGCCACCACCAAGCATCGTTCAGGGCAGCCCCGCCGCCGTGAGGGACGCCGCCTCACGGGCAGCAGGCGCCAGCCCCCGGCGGAACACCACTGCGCGCCACCGGCCTCCGTGAGATCGCCATCGGCCGCCGCGAGATCTGCGCGAGAACGGCGAGTACGCCCCGCCGCAACCTTCCCTGGGGACCACGCGGGCTTCGCCGGTGTCCCCTCCGGCGGCGGCGAAGCGGGGGAGGAGCGGGGAGGGGCGGCTGGCGACGCGGTTAGGGTTAGGGGCGGGGAGGGGAGGGGGGGCGATATATGTGCTCTATATCTGGGCGGCCCTAGTTGCACACTATTTATGTTTTTTATTTGCGCAGAAAAGGGATGTTTTATTAATCAAGAAGCTGTATAGAAGTAAAACACACTTGGAAGTTGGAAATGAGAAAAAAAATGCGAAAATACACAATGGAACATGGGGCTAGGCGCACCTGAATTGGAAGAAAAGGTATAAATAGTCAAATATTTTCAAAACTTTTTGGCGACATACATGGTCTAGCATACCATTCACGATTAAGGTTTCGGGACAAAATGACTCTCAGTATTCCAAGCAAAATACAACAGAATCAATACTATATAAACTGCACTATTCATGATTTTTATAGCTGCACTTTTAAAAAAAAAATCCACTCACAATATGACATAGCTCGTTTTTTCCGCGAAACTTTAAACGTGAGTATTATGCGAGACCATGTTTATCGCAAAAATGTTTCACTTTTTAAATATTTTCACTAATTTTTCTTAATCGGGTGCGCCTACACCCATGTTCCAAAAATCCACACTGAAAAATTGGCCCTAGAAGCATATGCTTTCATGTTGAAAAATATATACCTCAAAGTTCCATCTTTTTGGGAAATGTAATAATATGTGGATTTCAAATATATATAAAATATTAATTACTATAGGAAAAAACATTTTGCATGTAGCTGCAAACAATTCCATAATTGCACATACATGATTTTTTTTAATTGCATATACATGATTTTCTTAGTCTTCTAATAACATTTATTCATAGTATATTGTTTGTTATGGGTTTTGAATGGCATCGTGGATCATGATAATTTCATTTGCCCAACAACAGTTTGCCTATTTTAGTGTTTGTTTGACCCATCATTCACTACTTTTATGAGCACAACACAATTCACCAATTGCAAAACTGATCCACTTGTAAATATAGCTACAATTCTAAAAAACAAAAGTAAGTATTGCTACAAGGTTAGTTTGGTTAATCTGTCCCCTTTGCCGCTTGCTCTAGCAGTGTTTGCACATGTATGTATTTTATATTAATCTATAGTCATTTGTTGGTGCAGCACATCATTTGACATTTTCTTACGAGAATTTGCAAGCGTATAACCATTTGACCGTGTGCATGTTTTGTTGTTGATCTTTCAACACTTGGAAGTGCATCTTTTGTGTAGCACACAATTGACCAGTTCCCTAGGCTGACTCCTGCAAGGCAATTGAAAATGAGAACTAGGATAGAAGGTGTATACTGCAAACTTCTGAATTCTGATACCCCGCACCCCTAGGCGCTCCTGAAAACCTAAGGTTCGTGCACCTTCTAAAAATATTTATTCTTTACAAACAAATGCAGTAAGCAATAGAGTGTGGAATACCAACATGTCCAATCTAACATTCCATGATTATTAGAACAAAATAAAATAATGATGATGGGTTCGGTGTACCCAATTTCAAAACTTAACGAAGAATACATTGCTAAGTTGTGACAAAAAAAACAAAGAAATACATCCGTCTACATTTTTTTTGAACATAAGTACAAACACAAGTGCTCATATACACGCGCATACACTCACCCCTATGAACACACACACACACCCTACCCCTATGAGCACCTCTGAAAGACTGAGCCAGCATATCATCTTGAGATTTACGAAGTCACCTTAGGCGCATCGCCGTCTACGGGAACGTCTCCTCCCAATGAATGCGCATCATCGGAAATCCTGAAATAAATCCAGAAATAAATGTGAGCACCAGGATTTAAACCTTAGAGGGCTGGGGATACCACAGTCCCTCTAACCATCCAACCACAGGTTGGTTCGCCATTCGTCTACATATTGAGTTGAAACTTACACATGCAATTTGAAGTAATTTCGTCTACATATTGAGTTGAAACTTGCACATGCAATGTTTAAGTAAGAGTTAAATACACTACAGGTGCCCTACCTTATCCGATGCGGTCAATTTAGTGCCTAAACTTGAAAAATACACAAAAGTGATGTCGTAACTTGTCTGGATGTTCAAATACGGTGCCTCTGGATGTATGCCGCCGTATCGAGTGCCCGCGTGGCATTCCAGTCTGTCGCGGGGCCACATGTCAGTGGTTGCCTACGCGCGTTGTGAGCTATGCATGTTGTTTTTTTACAGGAATGCCCCTGGATTTTAATTACTTCTCGCAAAAAATACCCCTTGATTTTAATTAATACTCGCAAAAAATACCAGGAAGTCAGCGTACAGGGACTTCGAACATGGGATATGTCGTTGCCTGACAATCGAGCGGACCAGGCGGCCACGGTCTGGTTTGCGCTTAATTATCAGCAAGCAGTTTATATAGATGATTGCACGTATCGCTCTGCATATGCTTCTACTGGAGTAATTTTCTTTTTATTTATTCCAAGTTACTATCTTGTCTTTCTTCGAGTGATGTTTCTGTTTAGTTTTCATGATACGTAAAATTTTCCATGTGAAAAAATAAAAATAATTATCAATATATAATTTTGTTTATTTGTATCTCTATTCTATTTCCATTATAGTGTACTTTCAAGAGATAAACACAAACTCTAAAATTGATGTGGAATTAAAGAGTTGAAAGTTATTAAAAACATGGTGAGCACATTTTGAAAGACACGTTCACGTTCATGTTCATTTTTCATTTTCATATTATTTTAAAAAATGTTCACCGTGTTTTCTGGAAATATTGAATGCCTATTAAAAAATATTGTGTAATATTATTCTTAAATTTCTACAAACACGCTCATGTTAGTACATTTCTGGAATTTATTATTGTCACACAATAATATTTAATACACGTTGAACAGTTTTTAAAATACAATATTTTCAATTTTCAATAATTGTGTATTTTAAAAGTAGAATGAAGATACACAGTAATTGTTCGTGCTTATGGTCCTCAATGAAGATGCATAAATTTACACAATAATTTTTCATATACGTTCAACTTTTTATGTCCACATAAATTTTAGAAAAATTTCATGTTTATCTCTTCAAGGTACACAATAATGAAAATAGAGTAAAGATATAAAATAAACAATAATTGCAGATTGATAATTATTTTATTTTTCCATATAGGAAAATTTATGTATCATGAAAATTAAACAGAAACTTCACTCAAAAAATATGTGCAAAGCAATACGCGGAATCGTGCATATAAGTTGCTAGCTAGCAGTTAAATGTAAACCAAAGTGTGGCCTCTCGGTCCACTTGTTTGTTAGGCAACCAGGATGTCCGTGGTTTGAATTCTCTTCATGCCAGCTTGTGTTTATATTTTTGTGAGAATTAATTAAAGTACAAACGCGTTTCCATAAAAAAAACAGCTTGCGTCCAGCATGCGTAACGATTTTTTCCAAGAATTAACTAAAATCCAGGGGCATTTCTGTAAAAAAACTACACGCACAGTTCACAACACGCCCGCAGCCACGGACATGTGGCCAAGCGACACGCTGACATGCCCCAGGGGCACTTGATACGGCGGCATACCTCTAGAGGCACCGTATTTGAATGCCTAGACAAGTTACGCCACCACTTTTGTGTATTTTTCAAGTTTAGGCATCAAACTGACCGCGCCGGACAAGTTAGGGCACCTGTAGTGTATTTAACTCGTTAAGTAATATGACCATTTCTGACCTGGATGGTTTTCTTTTTGAAAATGATACATCTTAAGTTTCTCATTTATTAATTATTGTGTGTGTGTGTGTGTGTGTGATCTTTTGTCGTATTTTGCAGAACTTGCATGTCTTTTTGGCTAAGTTTTATGAAGTAGGTTCCGATGTACACAGGTTCTTAAAATCCCTTCTAATGGCTACATACCGTTCTTAAAAACCCATGTCATGACATGGGTGAGACACCAAAATGATTGTAACCGTGATACTTGAGTAAGACTACAAATTATTATTATCCCGCAAAAAGAGAGAGGCATATAACAGGCAGAACGAAATGAGCACACAAGGAAACGGTGCAATATTTACGGCACGGTTCGTTGAACAAATAGGCGTTTGGACTCATGTGACCTGGCTTATAGGTAGAATTAAAGCGAAAATAGTCTTAACATTCACGCTGCGCTGATCAATCTAGCACATAAATCATTTTGGTCAAAAAAAAATCTAGCACATAAATCATGAGGATTTCTAAAGGAGAATAACTTGCCTAGATGATCAACTCCCACAAGCAGGTTTGCTCAGACAACACCAAATTTTGCAGGAAAGTATAGTTTATAATTCCTATCATTACAAGACCATTAATGAAAAAAGAAAAGCAAACAGAGCACTAAGAAGAAGCAACATATACACGAATACTCTGCCTCTCTCACCGGACAAAACACAGAGCAAGCTTCGCCATCTTTCCGCTCTGCTCGGCTCAAGCCGCGGCCCAAGGAAGGACGAGGAGGAGGAGGAGTGCCTCCGCACGGACGCTGGCTAGCAGACGCCGGCGTTGGCAGCGAGCTTAAAGGACGCCGGGAGCGGGCTGCGCATGGGCGACCGGGGCGGCTGCGCGAGGCGGTGTCCGTCGGCGTCGTAGTAGATGACCCCGGAGAACTCCAGCGGCTGGCAGCGCTCGCCCATGAGTATCTCCTTCCTCCACAGCCCGCCCTCTTCCTCCTCCCGCCCCGCCGCCTTCCCCTTGCCCGTCGGCAGCGAGAAGGCCTTCCTCCACGGCGCCACGGCCGGCTTGCCGTTGCCGTTGCCGGCGCCCATCCTCCTCGCCGCCCGCTGCAGCCGCCGCGTGCACGTGCTCACCAGCGCCGCCACCGCCTGCAGGAGGCTCGCGCCCATCTCCGTCCGGCCGATCTCACGTTCCTTGGCTGCCTGTGTGGTCTCTGGTTTGTGTGTGCTGTAGCGGAGTTTACTGCTCTGGGGTGGTGGCCGTCGGGTTTGGCGGCATATATAGGCGGCGGGGGGGCCTCGGGTCTGGGTGGTGGTGGCGCCGCGCGGAAGTCAAACAAGTGGGTTGGAAAGAGATTTGTCTACTTATTGCTGCTAATCGGCGTGATCTAATCCAACGGGATGCTATCCATCTTCCTTCCTCTCGCAAGAGAAATTGAAACTTTCTGCTCGAGCTCCAGATTCACCACCACATCCCAGGAGTCTAAATTGATATTCTTCCATGGAGTTTCCGTGTACTGTGATCCACAGTATCCTCTGTGATCTTGTATACCCGATGCAATATTCTACGCTTGAAATACTTATGCACTACTAATTATGTAATGTCTGACTAATGATCTTAGTTTTCCATATATTTTCTGCAATACGGTGATGAAGATGGCGGCTGACCTTTGGCATGGCAACCTGGCTCGTCCGTCAGTGGATGTGGACAGGGAGAACATAAAACGCAATAATTCATTTCACCTGATTCGTCTGCGTTCACGTACGCACCCGAGCTCCAGTTTACGGCTCTTGTGATTTGTGAAGAGCGAGAAGGCGTCAAGACGATGATCACGCGGCATTAACCTCACAAGATAACCTCTCCCGCATTTCTTCCTGGTTGACCCCGAAGTAATTTAACCTACGTGCCCTTTCACGTACCATATCGCTAAACGCCCATCACTTTCGATTTTGTGTGAGCCGACTAAAACGCGCAAGTCGATCAGCGTAGCATTGCAAATTGCGGCGGCACCAAAAGAATCCAGGATCAGCCGTCAGAGGTGATGTTCTTTTTCCTGAGCACGCAAATTGTCTGCCATTTTTTAAATAGGGGGTAGGATACTACGGCTCCTCGGAAATTGATATGATCATATTAGCAATTTAGCATCAGGAAACTGCTGCTGCTGCTGCAGTTTGCCGGACAGTGGCGTTCCTCTTCCTCTGCTTCCAAAGACTACAGCGGAT